CAGAGCAAGAGGAGACGAGACTAGAGAGCAAGGTCACATTATAGCAAACCTCCTATGTCAGAGTAAATAATAGGCAATGGATAGAATTTTAAGTAGAATAGTAATATCAGGTTTGCATTTTAGAAATGGTCTTAAGCTTCAGTGTGAAAGTTGGATTGGAGGGGTAGAATTCTAGAGGCAGTCATACCATTAGGAGATTATTGTGTTAAAACAGGTCACAGATCCACAGTTTTTAGTCACAGACTAAGGTAGTAACTGGAGAAAGATATGACTGTCTCTGAGACTGATAACATTTACATTAAGTATTCATTTTATAAATGTCATTTTCCTCAACTATTTAAGAGGAGAACAATAGCTACAGTATGTGTGCTAAAATTTCTAGGGTTATTTTCTTTTGGAATGGGGATTAGATTCAAGGATGCTTCATTACTCGAAAATTCAGATATAGTATAAAGTTACATGTCTTTATGAATGGATGACTGAGCTCTTACTCTGAATACAGCCAGGATTGTCTGGCAGCAACACTAGGGAAAATAGTATCTTATATCTGTAATTGTACGTTTATATCATGATATAAATATTTTTTTGTTCTGTGATATCTCTTATCTCTCATATTAATCACACATTTATGTGTATCACGAAATTATGACTAGGGAAGTGCTAAGGGGAATAAAGCATTGAATTTTTTTTAAGCCAAAAATCTGTTCTTATATATTTGTTTAAAAGAGAAAAATTTAAAAACTGTGACTGGCAAATAAATTCTAGTTATAGCTCATCTGTCAGATGACAAGCAGCAGTGACCTACTTTTCAGAAGTGGGTGCTTTAGAATCTAATTCCTGATTCTTTTAAGAGATAGAGAACAGTAATATTAAAATGCACTTGATGGATATCTTATTGACTATCCTATATTCCTTTTTATATTATGGTAAAATGTTCTATATGTGGTTTAAGTTACATTTTGTTCTAATTGGGTCGTTTGCCTTATTTTTCTTTTATTCTTAGGCCTGCAAAAATTCAATCTGTCTTGATTTATCTACTAATTGTTTGCATGGAAGATTAACAGGAAACAAAGTAGTGAACTGGGACATTAAGGTAAATTAAGAGTATGTTGGGCAACATATTATATAAATTTACTGATACTCTTTTTTTTTAAGATAAAGTTTCACTCTTGTTGCCTAGGCTGGAGTGCAATGGAACGATCTCAGCTCACTGCAACCTTTGCCTCCAGGGTTCAAGCGATTCTCCTGCATCAGCCTCCGGAGTAGCTGGGATTATAGGCATGTGCCACCACACCCAGCTAATTTGGTATTTTTTTTAGTAGAGACGGTGTTTCTCCATGTTGGTCAGGCTGATCTCAAACTCCCGACCTCGGGTGATTTGCCCATCTCAGCGTCCCAAAGTTCTGGGATTACAGGTGTGAGCCACATGCCTGACCAAGTTTACTGATACTCTTATTAAAAATTTTGTTTTTTAAGCACCACCAGATTGATCTAAATAATAGATAAGTGATTAACGTAGTTGAATGACTTGGGTTTGAAATGTTACCTTTGTAAGCCAGGTCTTTTGAATTACCAGGTCCTTTGAATAATGTTGTTCCTTATAAAGTCAGTGAGAAAAAAATCGATTCCTGGCAGGGACAAATGTCTGTGAGGAGTTTGCATGTTTTTTGACATGTCTGTGTGGGTTCTCAAATCTTATTTGCCTTCTTCATTGGCTTCGTATTTATGTCACAGCTGGAAGTTTGCTTCCATTTAGAGGCTTCTACTTACTTTGCAAGATCAAATTAACTGCTCTTGTGGGTATCCATAGTACTTTATCATTTCACTTATTTGGCATATAGTAACTGTTTGCTTAATGCCCTAGTAGCCCATAAGAACTTTGAAGGAGGGGGTCACTGCTTTTTTCTTTATTGTAACCAGTTCCTGGTACAGAATTATGCAACAAATAAGTGTTGACTAAGTGATTAAATTAGTAAAGGTTGTTTAGGGTGATCTCTTTTATAGTGTTTCCTTAAATGATATTTTATAGAAGTTATAACCTAAGTAAAATAAAAAGAAATACAAAAGATAATTATAAGAGGACTTGCTGGTAAATCAGGAAAAAAGAAAACTTTTCTAACGAGTTAACACCACCCAAATACATTTATTTCAGTGAAACAGAAATCATTAAGATAATTTTGCCTGTGTAGAAGTGAATCTATCAATTAGTATCAATTTCATATTTATGGTATATAAAACATTTTCTCCTTAATTTAGGGATAAGAACACTTACTTTTTTTCTTTTCTTTTTTTTTTTTCTGATGCACAGTTTTGCCCTGTCACCCAGGCTATAGTGCAGTGGTATGATATCGGCTCACTGCAACCTCTGCCTCCCGGGTTTAACCAATTCTCCTACCTCAGCCTCCCAAGTAGCTGGGATTACAGGTGCCTACCACCATGCCTGGCCAATTTTTATGTTTTTTAATAGAGACAGGGTCTCATCATGTTGGACAGGCTGATCTTGAACTCCTGACCTCAGGTGATCAGCCCGCCTCCGCCTCTCAAAGTGCTAGATTACAGGCATGCGCCACCACACCCGGCCAGAACACTTTTTCTTATCTGTTAACATAGTAAGATTTACGACATGATTGACAATTCATAAGTTAACTTTTGCTTCATTTGTAAGACTGGTTTTACAAGGTGATTCCATGTAGCATTATTATATATAGAAACTTGTTTATGTATGCCATACATACCTGAAAATCAAAGCAGTTTTTTGTGCCCTGAGTTACAGCTATGCGGATGGATTATTAACTAGTTAGATTTTTGCTTGATGTGGAAATCAAAAAGCAACAGAATTATCAAAAGAAAGATAATTGTATTTTTATGCTGTAGCAAAGTCAAAGACCCAACATGTTAAATGCAATGACAACTGGTAAAATAATATTTGCCATCCAAAGAGTTAATTTACTTACTTATACAAAGAGCTCTTCAAAATCAGTATGACAAACAGTCAAAACAAAGTAGAAGATATGGGCCAGGCACAGTGGCTCACACCTGTAATCCCAGTACTTTGGGAGGCCGTGGCAGGCAGATTGCTTGAGTCTAAGAGTTTGAGAACAGCCTGGGCAACATGGCAAAACTTTGTCTGTACAAAAAATACAAATATTAGCTGGGCTTGGTGGCACATGCCTGTAGTCTCAACTACTTGGGAGGCTGCAGTAAGAGGATCGGTTGAGCCTGGGAGGTTGAGACCACAGTGAGCTGTGATCTGGCCAGTGCACTCCAGCTGAGTGACAAAGTGAAACCCTGTCTTAAAAACAACAAAAACCCAACAAAGTAACATATTTAGGATGAAAAAGTCTAGAGATCCAATGTAAAACATGAGGACTATGGTTAATAAAATTACATTTTATTAGGGAGTTTTGTTAAGTAAGTAGATTTTAGCTGCTCTTGTCACAAAGTAACTATGTGAGATGATAGAAATGTGAATCTGGGTCACTATAGTAACCATTTTATTATCTGTGTGTATCCTACAACATTATGTCGTAAACCTTAAATATATGCAATAAAATGTATTTCTCAGAAAACAAGCAAAGAATACGAAGAGGTTGTTTGCAGACTTAAGTTACGTCCACATGGCAATTCAGAACACTTTAATAATAATAAGAGCAAACCTTGTATGGCATCAACTGTATGTCAGACACTATGTACTTTTTATGTATTAGCTTAATCCTTGCAATACTTTATGAAGTAGGTATTATTGTTATCCCCATTTTACAGATGAAGAAAATGAGGTCAGTGATGTTTGTAACTTATCAAAAGATAGAGAAAATATTTTATTAAACTACCCAAAATATCCAAAACTTTGAACTTTGGCTGAAATAACCTCTCCATCTTTTTGTTAACTAAAAGTCAAGGAGTCAGTCATATTTCTACCACCAAGTGCATTTTTTTCATTATTTATTATCTTGTTTATTATGCCTAATTGCCTAGTGACAGTTGTTTCTCCATTGTTGGGAGTTACCTGATAAAGTCCACTTAATGGGGTTATGTTTCATTTGCCTATGTTGGAAATCCCTAAACTTTGGAAAATAAAGATGCAGTAAAAATGGTCTGGCCTCATCTCTCTTGAGTATTGATTATGGTGACCCTTGAGGCTGCTCTTTAAAGCATCTTCCTACACAAAAGTTTCTTCAGCTTAGGTTATCCTATACATTGCTCAAAGGTTTATCTAGTAAATTATAATGTCATACATGTGAAGATATTATGTGACAAAATTGTCCTTGTTTTATAAGATTTAAACATTATAATTTTCCCTTTAGGATATCATAAACTGCATAGGCGGGTTAAATGTACTCTTTCCTTTATTGGAACAAATCAGCCACTTTAGTGAAGGACAGTTTCCTGAAGAAAAGAATGAAAGCACAGTTCCTGAATCAGTAACACCTGTTGAAGGAGATTGGCTCATATTGACTTCCACAAAGGCCTCAGGTATTATGATGAAATTAACACAAGATAGTCACTGAGAAATTTGAGACTTAATTGAGAAATAGAGGAAAATATTTTGCTGTCATTAGGAAGAAACTTAACCATTTGTAGCTATAGCAGCTCTTCCTACTTTTACAAATATCATTCAGAAAGTTTATAATACTTTCATCAAAAAACTAAAGATAACTCTCCATTATCCTTAGTTTCTACTGTTAGTGGAAATATGACCACACTGTTAAATTTATAGTAGAAAAAATATGTGTATGTAAATATGCAATATTGCAGTTGCTGCTTTTTCTGATTCTGTTGTACAGTGGAGCCTTGGAAGCCAACTGCTGACCAGATTTCTACTGTGTGACAGGATGCATTATGATATAGAAAACTTGATATGAAAGTGATTAGAGTAATTGTGGTAATTAATATGTTCCGGATTCCACAGAGTCAAGACTAGAGAGAAACCTAGTCGCAACCTTTATCTTGATTGTAAAACATTTTATTCAGAGACATCCTATCAACCAGGACAATCTTATTCACTCCCATGGAGTTGCAACTCTTGGTGCTTTACTTCAGAAGGTGAGCCAGTCTAACATTGTGTTGATATAGCTAATGATTGTGATTTGGAGTTGATGTTTGGATTTCTTCTTTCTAATATGTGTGTGTGTGTGTGTGTACATACAGATATATATATATATATATATATATTTTAACTGTACTTTAAGTGCTGGAGTACATGTGCAGAACATGCAGGTCTGTTACATAGGTATACTTGTGCCGTGGTGGTTAGGTGCATCCATCACCCCATCATCTACATTAGGTATTTCTCCTAATGCTATCCCTCCCCTAGCCCCACCTCCACCCCTGGACAGTCCCCAGTGTGTGATGTTTCCCTCCATGTGTCCATGTGTTCTCATTGTTCAACTCCCACTTATGAGTGAGAACATTCAGTGTTTATTTTTCTCTTCTTATGTTAGTTTGCTGAGAATGATGGTTTCCAGTTTCATCCATGTGTTCTCGTTCAACTCCTACTTATGAGTGAAAACATGCAGTGTTTGGTTTTCTATTCTTGTGTTAGTTTGCTGAGAATGATGGTTTCTGGCGTCATCCATGTCCCTGCAAAGGACATGAATTCATCCTTTTTTATGGCTGCATAATATTCCATGGTGTATATGTGCCACATTTTCTTATCATTGATGAGCATTTGGGTTGGTTCTAAATCTTTGCTATTGTGAACAGTGCTGTAATAAACATATGTGTTCATGTGTCTTTATAATAAAACAATTAATAATTCTTGGGGTATATACCCAGTAATGGGATTGCTGGGTCAAATGGTATTTCTAGTTGTAGCTCCTTGAGGAATCGCCACACTGTCTTCCACAATGACTGAACCAATTTACACTCCCACCAACAGTGTAAAAGCATTTCTATTTTTCCACATCCTCTCCAGCACCTGTTGTCTCCTGACTTTTTAATTATTGCCATTCTAACTGGTGTGAGATGGTATCTCAGTGTGGTTTTGATTTGCATTTCTCTAATGACCAGTGATGATGAGCGTTTTTTTCATGTTTGTTGGCTGCATAAATGTCTCCTTTTGAGAAGTGTTTGTTCATATCCTTCACTCACTTTTTGATGGAGTTTTTTTCTGTAAATTTGCTTAAGTTCTTTGTAGATTATGGATTATTAGCCCTTTGTCAGATGGGTAGACTGCAAAAATTTTCTCCCATTCTGTAGGTTGCCTGTTCACTCTGATGATAGTTTCTTTTTAATAAACATATTTTTAAGGAATATTACCACTTAAGTTATATTAATGGATATGATTTGTTTCACAGGCAGCTTTTAAAAACTTGTATAGGATCATCTTATACAAGAAATACTTATTTTGTATAATAGTGTATAATCTTTGATGTATACAACCTTGTTTGATAGCTTTATATTTGAGATATTGAGAAATGTAAGACTAGTTTAGGAATATGACATTAGGAGAATATATTGTGGTATAACATCAGAAAAATCAATACTTAAGTTTATATTTTTCTAATGTAGGTTTTTCCATTTTTATTCTTAGTAGATGTTCTGAATTAATGATTTTAAATTATGGCTTAATGACAGTTATTTAAACTGAACTATGTGGAACCTTCTTCTGTTTGATTTCAGGTGCCAAGCACCTTGATGGATGTTAATGTGTTGATGGCAGTTCAGCTACTAATTGAACAAGTATCATTAGAGAAAAATATGCAGCTCCTGCAACAAATGTATCAATATTTACTCTTTGACTTTAGTATTTGGAACCGTGGAGATTTTCCCTTTCGAATTGGTGAGAGCAGTCTTTCAGATAAAAATTTTATAGTTGTTTAAGAAATGTATAACTACTTGTTGACCTTATTTTAGCTAAATAACTTACCACTGAACTTTCTATTTTAGGTCACATACAGTATCTTTCAACCATCATTAAAGACAGCAGGAGAGTTTTCCGAAAGAAGTATGGTGTGCAGTTTCTTCTAGATACACTTAGGATTTATTATGGGTATGATGCCCTTGTTCCTTCTCCGTTTGATTGGAATTTGTAGACTGTAGACTTTCTCTTTACCGGCGATTCTAGTATGTTTTAGCTGGAGAGAGGTAGGATAGAGTGGAGATTAAAATGATGAACAGTGGGTTTGAATCTGGCTTTCATTAATCGTGCAGCTGTAGGCAAATCAACCTCTCTGTGCTTGAGTTTCTTCATTTTTGAAAGGAGATAAGAAAACTGTTACCTCCTTTGGTTGCTTTGAGGATTATATTAAATGAGTTAATAATGTAAAACACTTAAACTATGCCTGCTATGCAGTAGGTGTTGTATTCACGTAAGCTATTTTAACATTTTTAATTTTTGTCACTGAAACTCTTAAAAGATTTTCCGTAAAAAGAAAAGCAAGCCAAAGTTACCTTGAATCTCAGAATTACATGGCAAGATCTTTTTTTTTTTTAACACTATCAATTCTTTTATATAGAAAATATAGAAATGTAAAAATTAAAATTTCAATTCTTTTACTTGTTTTCTGTTTCAGGAATGGTTGTAAATATAATGAACTATCTCTCGATGATATTCGAACAATAAGGACTTCTTTGTATGGACTAATTAAATATTTTCTGTGCAAAGGTGGATCTCATGAAGAGATACAAAGTATTATGGGGTACATAGCTGCTACTAATGAAGAAGAACAGGTATTATGCCTAAGATAAATCTACTTTTCCTTTTTAACATTTGAGTTGCTACATCATCTTTTGAACCTATTTATTTGTCTAGTTAAACACACACACACATACATACACACACACACATTTTTTGAGACAGAGTCTCACTCTGTCTCCAGGTGCCAGGCTAGAGTGTAGTGGTGCAATCTCTCGGCTCACTGCAACCTCCGCCTCCCAGGTTCAAGCAATTCTCCTGCCCCAGCCTCCTGAGTAGCTGGGACTACAGGTATGTGTCACCATGCCCAGCTAATTTTTGTATTTTTTAGTAGAGATGGGGTTTCACCATGTTGGCCAGGATGGGCTTGATCTCTTGACCGCATGATCGACCCACCTCGGCCTCCCAAAGTGCTGGGATTACAGGCATGAGCCACCGTGCCCAGCCTAGTTAAATATTTTAAGAGTAAAATATGTGTAGTGTCATATTCAATGTTATGCAGTTAAGAAGTAAATTTTGTGTAGTGTCATATTCAATGTTATGCAGTTAAGAAGTAAATTTTGTTTTATTTTATTTTATTTTTTTGAGATAGAGTCTTACTCTATCACCCAGGCTGGAGTGCAGTGGCATGATCTCAACTTACTACAACCTCTACCTCCTGGGTTCAAGTGATTCTCCTGCCTCAGCCTTTTGAGTAGCAGAGATTACAGGTGTGCATCACCGCATGGAGCTAATTTTTTGCTTTTTTTTTTTTTTTTTTTTAAGTAGAGACAGGATTTCACCATGTTGGTCAGCTGGCCTTGAACTCCGACCTCAAATGGTCCACCCACCTTGACCTCCCAAAGTGCTGGGATTACAGGTGTGAGCCACCACTCCAGGCCAGAAGTAAATTTTATCTACTAACCAAATTTTTTGTAAAGTATATGACAGTGCAATTGAATATTCTAGTTAGCTACAAAATGTAATATATAGAAATGGTTGTTTTGTCTGGCAGTTCTGAAGCCTGTTTTTATAGTCCACATGGTGTATGTTTACCTGTCATCAAAATTACTGGGTAGATTTCTAACATAACCTAGGTTCATAAAATGTTACATAAGGCCAGGCACAGTGGCTCAAGCCTATAATCCCAGCACTTTGGGAGGCCAAAGTGGGTGGGTCACAAGGTCAGGAGATCACCATCCTGGCCAACATAGTGAAACCCCATCTCTACTAAAAATACAAAAAAGATAGCTGGGCATGGTGGTGCACACCTGTAGTCCCAGCTACTCGGGAGGCTGAGGCAGGAGAATCACTTGAACCCAGGAGGTGGAGATTGCAGTGAGCCAAGATCGTGCCACTGCACTACAACCTGGGCGACAGTATGAGACTCTGTCTCAAAAAAAAAAAAAAAAAAAATGTTACATAAAGAGAAAATTATAAATGTGTTTCGGGTTTTACATACATTTCCCATTTAATCCTCAGAACTACGCTTTAAGTCAGTGGTTATCATTGTTTGGCCCCTAACCAGCTTTACCTGAGAACTTGTTAGAAATGCAAATAGACTACTGATTCAACTGCTGAACAAAGCCCTCCAGATTTTTCTGGTGCAAATGGTAAAATTTGAGAGCCATCACTATAACATATACAGACCAGGAATTACTTTTTACATGGATGCTTTTGGAAATTTATATTCAGAAAGATTATGTGACTTAAAAAGTCATACAGCTGATAAACCTGAAACTAGAAACTAAATGTTTTCTTAGTGCCATTTTTGTGCTCTTCCAGTATAACCTCCTCAATACCACAAATTTAAGTAGATTTATGTTAACTAGGACATTTTTCCCTCTATATGTAATATTTATTACATACTCAGTGGTTACATAGCTTCATTATTGGTATTATTTAGATGAGTTACTGCAGGCTATTTTCCTATAAGATTGGACTACTTAAAAAAACTCATTATTCCCTTTTTACTTCATGATTGCTGTATCTGTGATTCATTGCCAGCAATATTTTTTTGGCCAATTCAGTCAAAGAATTATTTGTTGAGGACTTACTGTTTATACACAATAATATTAGACATTATAGTTAATATAATGATGAATTATTATTCTTTTAAGCTAATAGGGTGGGGTCAATAAGAGAGGTTTACAAATAACTATATAAACAAAAAAGAGTATGAAAATATCTATAAGAGAGTTACAAAGTTCTGTGAGGTTTTCATAAGAGGGTTTTATATGTTGCAGAGACAAGGAAAGACTTTTTGAGGAGATGTCTTTTCATATAGATAAAGCAGGATAGATATGGTTCCAACAGGTAAATTTGAATAGTGATAGGGATATACTAAAGGAAATTGAATAAGACAAAAGCAGGTCTGGTTCAAAAGATATCAGAGGCCAGGTACAGTGAGCTGGGTGGATCACTGGAGCCCAGGAGTTTGAGACTAGCCTGGGCAACATGACAAAACCCCGTTTCTACCAAAAATACAGAAAATCAGCCAGACATAATGGTGTACATCTGTAGTCCCAGCTACCCCTGGGAGACTGAGGTGGGAGAATCACCCGAGCCTGGGAGGTTGAGGCTGCAGTGAGCTGTGATTGTCCCACTGCACTCCAGCCTAGGTGACAGAGGGAGACCCTGTCTCAAAAAATATATATATCATCAGATCCAGTAAAGTTAAAACATTAGAGTATATAGGACTTAATTAAATGACTATTTGTGGCTTATGACCTTATTTGTGCTTGTACATATGAATGTGGTGAATTGTTTTGTGTTTAATTTTAAAAGCTCTTTGGAATTTTGGATGTGCTCTTCAGTCTCCTACGTACCAGCCCAACTCGAGGTCAGCTTTTCTTACTGCTTTTTGAACCAGGAAATGCTGACATACTGTATGCCTTGCTCTTAAATCAGAAGTACTCTGACAGACTAAGAGAAATCATTTTTAAGGTAGAAACATTTCTTAAACATCTTTGTATTTGGGGGCATTTGTGGGTATATGAATTTTCTTGCAATATAGCCATTCTGTGACTGTAAATTATTTTTATATCTATTTCTCTAAGTTGTTCAACTTATTTTTATATATAGTTTTTATGTTTTAGTTGTTTACATATTTAAAAACTAATTATATTGTAATCTGAAAATCATCTCAGTGGAATATTCACTTTGTCATACCATCCTCAATATAAAACCTCTCATCTTCTTGACTTGGTGGGTCTATGTGGTAATTCAGAACATTTCAACCGTTAATAGCTAACTTTATGTAGCAACCACTGTATGTCAGGCATTAAGCATTTTTGGTATATTGGCTTACTTAATCCTGCAACAACTTTATGAAGTGGGTATTACTAGTATTCTCATTTTACAGATGAAGAAACTGAATCCAGAGAGATCAGCAACGTATAAAATATATAGATGAATTGCTCCACAAATGTTTACTTATCCTTGAAAATTATTTTAATTTTAATAACTGTTACTTAAATGGATTATTAGATTGATCCAGAGGTGTATTGACACACATTTGTTCTTGCAAGCTACCTGGTTTGTTTTCATCTAAGCCTTTCCCATTAAGAAACAAAATTTTTAATTATTTCTCTTTAATTTGCCATATAATTAAACTAGAGTTTTAAGCATACTGATGATTCAAATACAGGTGCATTTCAGTTTGCTCTTGTCCCCCAGCCTGGAGTGCGATGGTTTGATCTCGTCTCACTGCAACCTCCACCTCCCGGGTTCAAACGATTCTCCTGCCTCAGCCTTCCTAGTAGCTGGGATTACAGGCTTCTTCCACTATGCCTGGCTAATTTTTGTATTTTTAGTAGAGACGGAGTTTCACCATGTTGGCCAGGATGGTCTTGATCTCCTGACCTCGTGATCCGCCCACGTTGGTCTCCCAAAGTGCTGGGATTACAGGCGTGAGCCACCGTGCTCAGCTATTCTTTTTTTAAATTTGTTTATTTTTTTGAGATGGAGTCTTGCTCTGTCACCCAGGCTGAAGTGCAGTGGTATGATCTTGGCTCACTGCAACCTCTGCCTCCCAGGTTCAAGCGATTCTCCTGCCCTAGCCCTCTTAGTGGCAGGGACTACAGGCACGCACCACCATGCCTGGCTAAGTTTTGTATTTTTAGTTGAGGCAGGGTTTCACCGTATTGACCAGGCTGGTCTCGAACTCCTAACCTCAAGTGATCTGCCCACCTCAGCCTCCCAAAGAAGTGCTGGGATTATTGGCATGAGCTACCATGCCAGGCCCAGTTTATTCTTAAATCCATTTTTACGTAATAGTATAATATGGAGTGCTCCTCCCTATTAAATTCATTTATGCCTAGCATTCCATTATTGGAATACTAGGCATGCAGGAGTTATTTATATCCCACTGCTCAAGGTCATCACCAAGGTCTGATTTTTTATACATGTCTTCAATCCAAAAAATTGCAACCTCCAGCATAAATGGGTTAATGCTGAGGTTTTTATACTTAAGAATAAAATAATGCTCCAAAAACAAAGTATAGCAATATTTTATTCTATAAATTAATAGCGTTATTTTAATCTATAAGTTAATATTCCTATAAGTTAATAGCAATACTTAACATTAAATATTAATACTAATGATATTTACTAACAATATTTAATGTTAATAAGTTAGCATCGTTAATGTTAACTTAAGTGACAAACTATTAGTTTTCTATATTGAGAATATATTACTTGTTGTGACCAGATTATGGAACAAATGTTGAAATGCACGAATGTTTATGAGCGTAGTAAACAACATATTCGACTCAGAGACGTTGGCTACTCAGGACTGGGACTCCTTCTTAATGAAGCACTTGTTAATACTTCTCTTATTAAAAATCTCACCAATCAAATCGTAAATACAGGTATGAATAAGGCTGATAAAGCTAACATATATAAGAAATGTTTTTTCCTATAAGTTTTTTCATACCTTTTTTAGGCTGCTTTTAAAATGATCTGTTACAGCTGGGTGCGGTTGCTCAAGCCTGTAATCTCAGCACTTTGGGAGGTGGAGGCAGGCTGATCACCTGAGGTCAGGAGTTTGAGACCAGCCTGACCAACATGGAGAACCCTGTCTCTATTAAAAATACAAAATTAGCCAGGCATGGTGGTGCATGCCTGTAATCCCAGCTACTTGGGAGACTAAGGCAGGAGAATCACTTGAACCTGGCAGGCGGAGGATGCAGTGAGCTGAGATCACGCCATTGCCCTCCAGACTGGGCAACAAGATTGAAACTCCTCTCAAAAGTAAATGAATACAATGATCTGTTACTTGATTCAGCAGGGTCTTCCTTGGTTACCGTGTCTTGTGTAGTTTTGTTGTTTTTGTCTCTCCAGGGCATAGCACAGTTCCTTACTCAGTAAATGTTTATTGACTCAGTGATTAAGCTAATAACTGAGTCCACAGAACAGGAAAAGGACACTACGGAAATTGTGTGCGAAAGATTGTTTTTTCTTTAAGGAGCTTAAATTTTTAAAGGCAAATGAAAACTAATTTCAGGTATTCTTTGTGGTTTCTTCTTTTTGTTTGTTTTGTTTTTGGTTTTTGGCTTTTCTTTTTAGAGACAGAGTCTTGCTGTATTGACCAGGCTGGTTGTGCAGTGGCTAGTCACAGGTATGATCATAGCTCACTGTAGCCTCATACTGGATGCGGTGATCCTCCAACCTCAGCTTCTAGGTAGCTGGGACTGCAGGCATGTGCCACCGTACCCTGCTTCTAATTTTTTTAAATAATTCTTTTAGTACTTAATGACAAACTACAGAATTTATGCCAGATGCTGGGAGTTTGGAGTTATGAGGTTCTTTGTCTTGAGTAGTTTACAATCTTGTTGATAAGACATGTACATAAAAAGATAAATACTAATAAAAGAGCCATGCAGTATGGACAGTATGTTCAAGCAATCAAAAGAAAGTAACAGTTATTTAGGGTTGATTCAGGAGGATGTCAAATATTCTAAACCTATTTTTTTCTTTAAAATTTGAACATACCTATAATTCATATTTTAAAATGAAATAATTATTTCAGCATTTTATACAAGTATTATGCACAGTTCTTTCTTGGGTTATCTCTGGTATTTAATTTTAACTTTTTATTTTTCTGCCATAGATCCTGTTATTAATTTCAAAGATCTATTATCTGTGGTATATATATCTCACAGAGCACATATAAATGTTAGAGTGGCCATCTGCAGAAAGGTTAGTAAACTCTTAAGATGTATTTTAATGATAGCATCTTTATCATGCTGTAAATAACTGCATTAGTATTTTGCAGCAGATACAAGTTTTCATTTCTCTTATTTTATAAATGACATAATTTTATAAGTAAACAATTTTCTTTTTGAAGTAAATTAACTTTATGTAATCATAAGAAATTAGCATTTGAATGTTTTCTTAGCTCTTCATGGTCTCCTGCAAATATGTTCTTTCCAGAGTCAAAAATTTATTACCAGAGAGTAGTTTTTTTATTAAGAACCTTCAATGATTGTGACCAATTATAATTTATATACCATATTTTAGAGTTTTGAATCTTTTGAACTTTCTGGGAATAATTTTCTGTAATCTGTTTATGAGTATTTCAACAATGATTTGTCTTCAGTACACAGTTAACCTTTAACTAAGTCAAGTGACAGTTATCCTGTCTGCCCCTTTCAGATCATATCTTTCTCTGTCCTCCACTGGTACCATTGACCTGTCTAATTTGCTTCCTTGCTTTTTAAAAAAATTTTACCTCCTGATTTTGTTATGTTATGTATGTATGTATGTATGTATGTATGCATGTATGTATCTTATCTATCTATCTATCATCTTTCTATCTGGAGAGAGAAAGCATTTATATATATATACATACACACACATATATACACACACACATATATATGTACACACACACATAGATTGTTTGACAGAAAAGAAAAATATGTATTTGTTTAATATGTGTATATATATATGTATGTGTATATATATATATATATATATATATATATAATTTCTTTTTCTCTTTAATGGCTATATAGTGTTTCATTGTATTGCTATCCTCTAAAGTATTATCTGGTTCCTTATTGGTGGATACCTGCTTTTCCATGTTATAAACTGCTGTTATGAATGTCTTTTTATGTTTTCCTATTTGTGGTAATACATCTGTAGGACATACTCCATGAAATAGAATTTCTGTATCAAAGGGTATTAATGTTTTACATTTTGATAGATTTTTCCACATTGTCCTTCAAAATAACTGTACCAGTTTACATCTATACAAACATTGTGTGTGATAGTGATTATTTCCCTGTATGCTCAGTTCTGAGTATTTGAAGCAGGTCTTATAAATTGATCCTTTCCTTTTCATGTATAATTAGATAGAAACAGCTCTCAGTGCAGCTTGGTTTTATCTATTATTTGTGTATAAAATAGGTACAAAGTAAGTCTTATTTTATGGAAACGTTAATGTCATGAAAGCATGAGGAGTTTCTTTGCCAAGTAAAGCTTAATGTGGAAGGAAAAAAAATTGGTATTCTGTATGTATAAAGTAACAGTGGCTCTTGGATTGATAATAGCATTAGTAAAGAAAGAATCTTCACATCATTGTGACTCCTTGCCTTCTGTACCAACATATATTAGTACTAGTAATATTGAAGTCCTTACCAACATTTTTCATCTCTTGCTATGAAATTTGTCAGAGCTAAAACTTCTGTTAAGAGAGATACTCAAAAGCCTGAAAGTTAAAGTTCTTTTCATCTACATAGAATTTTATGGGCTTTGTGATAAAATTGTCTTAAAAGATCTTAAGTGAATATCCAAAGGTTTTTAAGAACTTGTATTTATCTAAAAATTGAAACCAACTGGACAGTAGAGCTCATACATATTCCCATGTCACTGTTTACTGTTCTGGCTAGGCAGTGGCATCCATCTTGCTGAAATTCATTTTCTGGAATTAAAGTTTAGTTTTTGTTCTGTTTGTATAATATAGACTTAATAAACAATGTAGACTTTAGTGTGGACTTACTGAACAAAAATGTTTTTGCAAAAGCAACCATTAGGCTAGGCACAGTGGCTCATACCTGTAATCCCAGCACTTTGGGAGGCCAAGGCAGGCGGGAGTTCAAAACCAGCCTGACCAACATGGTGAAACCCTGTCTCTACTAAAAATACAAAAATTAGCTGGATGTGGTGGTGCGTGCCTGTAGTCCCAGCTCCTTGGGAGGTTGAGGCAGGAGAATTGCATGAATCCAGAAGGCAGAGGTTGCAGTGAGCTGAGATCACACCACTGTACTCCAGCCTGGGTGACAGAGCAAGACTCTGTCTCAAAAAAAAAAAAAAAAAAAAAGCAACCATTAACTTTCCCTGAAAAAAAAAAAATGAGACAGAAAAACATTCTTGGTGTACTCAGGTTCTATCAAAATGTCTTATGTGTCCTGTTCACTCCCCTAATGCCCCCCTTATATGTCCTTTTTGCTCCCCTGTGCCTAGCACATAGTAGGTGTACAATAGTATTTGCTCAACAAATGTAGTGGGCTCATGGAAAGTATTTAGTTGAAACGATGTTACTCTATTATTTAATGTATACCATCATCCTATTCATTTTAATTTTCGTTTTTTATCTTTCAGCAAATATTTTAGTTCACCCTTACTCTGTACAATGAGTAGTATGGAGATTTGTTGGAAATACAATGCCAGCCTTTCAAATAGTTTATAATCTAATTAAGAATATAATCTTTGAAAGTATATTATTCTGTAGTTTCTCATTAAATTACTTTATTATTAAAATAACTGAAAAGAGACTTTTTAATATAAAGTACTGTGTACTTTTTGAAGAATTTTGTATTCTTAATCTTTTTACAGGTTTTACAAATTTTGCAGTTTCACCCAGATGCAGCACATCAAATATCACAACAAGTGGGGTGGCAAGACACCTTAGTGAGGCTTTTTTTAAAAGCAAAATTTGAAAATGGAAATACTCTTCATAAGCACAGTAGAGCTGTTTTAATGAAAGACAATGATAAGAATATGTCAACTGAAGATACTAAGAAGAACTTTGATGAAAAAACAGATGAGGAAAAAATCACCTCTTTTTCCTCAGCTAAGATGTCTTCAGATCAGTGGAGTTTGGAGGATAGACGCTCTTTAGACTCAAACACACCATTATTTCAAGAAGATAGCTCTGTGGGAGAATTGTCTTTCAAATCAGAGAATCAAGAAGAATTCTGGCATAGCAACCCTTCACATTTGAGTTTAGATCTCAGTGGAATTGACTCATGTGAAATGAGTGATAGTGGAAGTCAAGTGCCAGACAGTCTGCCCAGCACACCATCCCCAATAGAGTCTACAAAATCGTTTTCTGTGCACTCTGACAAAGAAAGCAGCATCACAAATGATATGGGCTTTAGTGATGACTTCTCTTTACTTGAAAGTCAAGAGGTAAAATTGCTTATTTTTCCAAATGCTATTTTTATTTTCATGTCTGATACATACTTCTAATCCTTAGAAATATGTGAGCAGTTGTTAACAATTTTATATTCATGTTCTAAGTTTCATGATCTAAGGTTTAGAAACTTAGAAGTCACTAGATTATGAGTTTCTTGAGAGCAAAGCTAGTGTCTTATTCATCTTATATCTTTAGGGCCTAGTAAAGTTCAGGTTCATTAAAGCACTTTAGAAATATGTTAAATGATTACAATGAGTATATATAATGATTCTTATGATGTGCTTTGAACAACTACACTCTCTAGTTGTTTTAAATTACTTTATCTTTTTCATAGAGATGTGAGGAAGAGCTTCTTCAATTACTGACACATATTTTGAATTATGTAATGTGTAAGGGACTAGAAAAGTCTGATGATGATACTTGGATTGAACGAGGACAAGTGTTTTCAGCATTAAGTAAACCGGGAATATCCAGTGAGCTACTTCGACCATCAGATGAAATAAAACTAATGTAAGCGTTTAGTTAGTGATTTTCCATCTTCCTTTTGGTGAGAGCAGGAGTCTAATTTTAGTTATTGAACATTTATTCAGTATTCTGTGGATATAAAAAGGGATAAAAAGAGAAACTTTACACTCAGTTCCTTTTTCTATCTTTTGCCATGCTAGTAGGATCTAAAGAGGAATCCCAAACTTACTCCAATATGAGGAGGTTTAAGTCTTATGTAAATCTGGATCATAAGTGATTACAGATTTTTTGTTTAAACTGTTTTTTTTTTTTTTATTTTGAGGACTTGATACATTGTTTTCTGCAGGCTTGTCTAAATTTGAGTGTTTCCATGCTAAGAGAAGGGAGTTATGTTTTCATGAAAATTATTTCTCTGAAGGATTTAGGGTTCCTTGTAGATCAAGCATGTCTTACCCACAGGTTGCAGGCCACATGCAACTGAGGATGGCGGCCCAACACAAATTCATAAACTTTCTTAAAACATTATGAGATTTTTTTGCAATTTCTTTTAGCTCATTAGCTATTGTTAAAACATATCATTAAAATATTATTAGCGTATTTTATTTTATTTTTGAGACTGAGTCTTGCCGTGTTGCCCAGGCTGGAGTGCAGTGGCGCAATCTCGGCACACTGCAACCTCGGCCTCCCAGTTTCAAGCAATTCTCCTGCCCCAGCCTCCTGGGTAGCTGGGATTACAGGCCCACACCACCACGCCCGACTAATTTTTGTATTTTTAGTAGAGACAGGGTTTCACCATGTTGATCAGGCTGGTCCCGAACTCCTGACCTCATGATCTACCCACTTCAGCCTATTAGCATATTTTATGTGTGTCCCAAGACAATTCTTCCAATGTGGCCCAGGAAAGCCAAAAGATTGGATACCCCTGCTGTAGATAATAGGACTCTGTATTGGTAGCATACAAGGGAAGAATTACATCTTTTCTTCCACAGGGCTAGATCCTCTGTAAGGCATAATAAGGGTTTCTTCTCTAACCTTGCCAATTGCCAGCTTTAAAGAAACTAAGTATCTCATTAAGGATGGAATGTGAATTATTGTCATAGTTTTTTTATAGTCAAGTAAAACAGGGAACTTTTACTTGGACTTTTAATACTAGGTATATTAAAAATAAATACTCCAAACATTTCAGTGTTTCTCCATTATTGTTAAATTCCACTTACAGGCCTGGCATGGTGGCTCATGCCTGTAATCCCAGAATTTTGGGAGGCCGAGGCAGGCTTATCACCTGAGGTCAGGAGTTCAAGACCAGCCTGGCCAACTTGGCAAAACCCCATCTCTACTAAAAATCTAAAAATTAGCCAGGCCTGTTGGTGCATGCCTGTAATCCCAGCTACTTGGGAGGCTGAGTCAGGAGAATCGCCTGAACCTGGGAGGTGGGGGTTGCAGTGAGCCGAGATCATGCCATTGCACTCCAGACTGGGCAACAAGAGCAAAACTCCGTCTCAAAAAAAAAAAAAATTCTTTTACAATGTCTTAGGGTTACCTGGTAGTAATCGTGTATCTTTGGAAATACAATGCTGCCTCTCAAGCTGTTTTGTTTTGTTTTTAATGTCCTATTTTTCTGAGCTCATAATGGTTTTAAGAGGAATTTGTTTTTCATTTAGTTTGCTACAAAAGATGTTAGAATGGGCAGTCTCAGAAAACAGAGAAGCGAAAACTAATCCAGTAACTGCTGAAAACGCCTTCCGACTAATGCTGATCATACAGGACTTTCTTCAGTCAGAGGGACTAGTTAATCCAAACATGTGGACTGAGAAGGTGCAGTAATATCGCTTTAAAATTATGTTTTGAGTAATTAAGAACTTTATTCAAAGACAAATTTTGTAACCCCTCTTTTTAGAGTATTAATACATAATCAGATTCAATAAACATAGATAAGATGTGATGAATAGTCACAGATTTTGTTAGCTATTACTAGTATGATTCTTTTGGCTTTTGTCAACTGAACATTAGACTAGTTTTTGAAATATTTGTGGTTTGTATTAATGTTGGGGAAAATTGATCAGTAAATTGAAAAACGTAATGTTTTTATTTCTCAATTTTTTCCTTCGTGATAGCTTTTAGAGGATATGATGCTGCTCTTTGACTGCCTGTCAGTCTGGTATTCTGAAAATCCATTATGGGTAAAACTCTCTCAAATTCAGATCCAGTTGCTTCTAGGATTCATTGGAAGGGGTAATTTACAGGTTTGTCCATTTTTTATATTATTTTTTGTGCTTGCATGCAGTGTAGGTATTATTTATGTAACAAGCAAATGATAATGTCTTTTTGGTATTTTAAGTTTTTTATTAGTTCTAAAACTATCCATGATTTCACTTGGAGTTTTGAGGAGCTTGAGAGGCAGTTAATTTATTACTTCTCCCTGATTATTAACAACTTCATATAATTTTAAGGCTTTCTTTTATAGGATTTTTATATAGCTTATATTAGTATATCATCTATATTCAGTATAACTACCTAGGTGCTAGGTAGCCTGCAACAATTGTTTATATACCTATGATTTAGGGCTTGCATTTTTTAGAAAAATTATTTTTTAAATTACTCCTTTCAATTTTTTTCTGCTATTTTACTAATTCACAATTTTTACATTCCATCTCAGTTTTTTTTTATTTATCACACACTAAATACCTACAAAGTACTAAGCACTGTGCTAGATTTTAGAAATAAAGAGAAGTAAAATATTGGTCACAAGGAATATTTATTCTATTTTAAATTAAAAATGGAAAAGGCTGAAAAATTTGATGTGAATTTTGGTCTGTCATTTTTCTACTTACATCTGGGTTAGATTAGTCATGGTAAGAATTTAATAGCTATTTACCTGACCCTTTTTATTTTATTTTGATGTTTCCATTTTGTATTTGGTGCAGGAAGGTTGGGGTAGGACTGGCTTCTGATTTACATAAACTAGATATAATATTAATAAGAACATGGAGAGGTTAAAATTCTGACATCAGGTTGCTATATATATGTGTGTGTGTGTGTGTGTGTGTGTGTGTGTGTGTGTGTGTGTGTGTGTGTGTTTTTTTTTTTTTTTTTTTTTTTTAAAAGACAGAGTCTGCGTCTCCCAAGCTGGAGTACAGTGGTGCGATCTTGGCTCACTGTAACCTCCACCTCCCAGGTTCAAGTGATTGTCATGCTTCAGCCTCCTAAGTAGCTGGGACTACAGGCACTTGCCACCATGCCTGGCAAATTTTTTTGTGTTTTTAGTAGAGACGGAGTTTCACCACGTTGGACATGCTGGTCTCGAACTCCTGACCTCATGTGAGCCACCCACCTCAGCCTCCCAAAGTGCCAGGATTACAGGCATGAGCCATTGCATCTAGCCACTCTATTTTTTTTTTTTAGACGGAGTTTCGCTCTTGTCGAGGCTGGAGTGCAATGGCGCAATATCAGCTCATCGCAACCTCCGCCTCCCAGGTTCAAGCTATTCCCCTGCCTCAGTGTCCCGAGTAGTTGTTATTACAGGCATGCACCACCATGCCTGGCTAATTTTGTATTTTTAGTAGAGATGGGGTTTCTCCATGTTGGTCATGCTGGTCTCAAACTCCTAACCTCAGGTGATCCACCCGCCTCGGCCTCCCAAAGTGTTGGGATTACAGACGTGAGCCACCACACCTGGCCCTGGCCATTCTATTTTTAGAATATCATAATCTGATGATTCTATTTTTTATTTTTGTTTATTTATATTTTTTATTGTGAATGCTGCAGAGAAGTAATTCTATTTTTAATAGATATTTATCTTTCATTATAAAAGTAACACTATTATTTTCTACTCATTGTAGAAAATAAAAGCATAGAGGAAAATGTAAATAATTCACCTTCCTATAACATAAGAGAAAATAACTATTAGTATTTTAGTATGTTCTTTCTTTCTTGTTCTATGAAGATATCTTTTTCAGAAGTCATGTATTTGGGTTGCTTTGTGTTTTTTTCTTTTTCTTACTGTTATATAAAACTTATTTCCCTGTTAGTAATAGAGTTTTTTTTTTCTTTCATCCTAAAATTAACATATATTCATTGTAGAAAACTTGAAAAATATGGAAAAGCTAAACAAGTATGTGGGCATTAAAGTACACAAATGGTGAAAGTTTGAATTATACAGACTTTAAATGTAATTCTTAAATATATGAACTAAGAACTTTTTTTAAAAAAAAAGACTCTTTCTCTAGTAACTGTACTCTGAAACTAATCCTAAAGTAATAATCTAAAATATAGAACTGGCCAGGCACGGTATCTCACACCTGTAATCTCCGCACTTTGAGAGGCTGAGGTGGGCAAATTACTTGACCCCAGCAGTTTGAGACAAGCCTGGCCATCATGACGAAACCCCATCATGGGAGGCTGAGGCAGGAGAATTGCTTGAACCCAGGAGGCGGAGGTTGCAGTGAGCCAAGATCACACCACTGCAGTCCAGCCTGGGCAACAGAGTAAGACTCTGTCTCAAAATTAATTAATTAATTAATTAATTAAAATAAAATACAGAACCACCTTTATACACATAGATATTCAGTATATTATTCTTTTTTTTTTTTTTTTTTTCAACCTAGAAGTAGAATGAGGATAGCCTTTTTGGCTTTTTCATTAATTTTAGCCTAATGACTACTAAAGTTGTTGCAGTTAGCATGCCAGGTAGTTCTTTATTTTAGATGTTAGGACTTTTTTTTCTTCCATTTGTAATTTATCCTCAGCATTTTTTAATTTGATGAAATTTCCCTAAATAAACAAAATGCCTATTTATTTAGTTCACCATTATGTATTCATTGCCCATTCCATAATAGGGGCTCTATAAGTACTCATTAAATAAATGAATAAGCATAGAACCTGCAAATACAAATAAGACAGACTCTTCTCTTTTTTTTTCTTTTTTTTGAAGATAGAGTTTAGCTCTATCATCCAGGCTGGCGTGCAGTGGCACGATCTCGGTTCACTGCAACCTCTCCGCCTCCCAGCCTCAAGCAATTCTCCTGCCTCCGCCTCCCATGTAGCTGGGACTACAGGCATGTGCCATCACACATGGCTAATTTTTGTATTTTTAGTAAAGATGGGGTTTCACCATGTTGGCCAGGCTGGTCTCGAACTCCTGACCTCCTGTGATCTGCCTACCTTGGCCTTCCAAAGTTCCAGGATTACAGGTGTGAGCCACCGCACCCAGCCCAGATAAGACTGATTCTATCTACTAGCAGTTAGTGACCTAAAACATTTCTCACTAGCCCATTGGGTAATTGTATTCTCTCAGAAATAAAAACCTACTTTCCTGAGGTTGTATACCTTAAAGGCTAGGACAGGAATCTCTTTCTGTGTAGGGGTTATAATAGAGCTGCCTGAAAACTTGATTTATTTGGCTCATACATGTTAATTAATTGCCGGTGTTTAAGTATTAAGAAATTTTACATAAAAACCAAGATTTCCCAGCTTGTTTCAAAAATAGGACTGCATGGTCATTGATTCATTTAGATGTACATATTGTCTCCAGTTAGCCTGGTTCCTTACTCCCCCTGTTGCCTTAGCTCAGCCAGTGATTCCCATCCCTGGCTGCACATGAAATAACCTAGAGGAGCGTTCTAAACATACCTATGTAGTGCATCACCCATAGTAATTAATTCAGAATGGGGTGAAACTAGGGCTTCAGTATTTTGTTGTTTGTGTTGTGTGTGTGTGTGTGTGTGTTTGTTTGTTTTGAGATGGAGTCTCGCTCTGTTGCCCAGGCTGGAGTACAGTGACACAATCTTGGCTCACTGCAACCTCTGCCTCCTGGGTTCAAGTGATTCTCCTGCCTCTGCCTCCCAAGTAGCTGGGATTACAGGCATGTGTCACCACGCCTGGTTAATTTTTGTGTGTTTAGTAGAGATGGGATTTCTCCATGTTTGCCAGGCTGGTCTCAAACTCCTGACCTCAGGTGATCCACCTGCCTCGGTCTCCTAAAGTGTTGTGTTTACAAGTATGTGCCCCGACACCCAGCCTGGGCCTCAATATTTTTTGTAATTCCTCAAGTGACCCTAATGCAGTACTATTTATAATAAGGGGGAAAGGAAACATTACATGTATGTGATATGTCAGTATCCAAAATTAAAGCACTGGTCAAGTAAATTTTATTCATTAAAAGTATCTTTATACTTTTAAATAAATGTGTAAACTTAATGTTTATTTAATGTCATGACATTAAGTTAAAAGCAAACATTGGATATTTAACTCTTTATGTAAATAGTATTTTCTTAAATACATAGCAAAAAAAAGCCCAGAATATTAACACTGCTATTTCCTGGATGTAGGAATTGTGTGACATTTTTTTCTTTAATTTATTGGCCCTTATTGGAATTCAGTTCCTTTAGTTGGCTTCAAAGACTAAAAGGTGAGAAGAGGGATGGGTTGGGGGAAAACATGAGCAGGATAGAGAAATCAAAGCTTTGAGTTATGTTAGAGATTGTTCCCTCCAATGCTGTTTACATTGCTAAGATTTACATGGAAAGAGTACCTGAAGTCTTTTGTTGCCTTATCCTGCAAAGACCTGTGTGTACAGCCCGGACCAACTTTTGGCACAAATACATTCTTGCAGTAGTTTCAGGTTCTAATCATTTTTTAAATTTTCTTTTGCTTTTATTTGGGAAGTAATACAGATCCAAGTGAGATTATAGGGTTAAGGGAGAAGGAGAAGGAGACCCAATATGTCATTTTCCTGCCTTAATTTTAAAACTTAGGTCTTTCTGTAGCCCACAAAAAAAGGAAACCCCCAGGCCGGGCGCGGTGGCTCAAGCCCGTAATCCCAGCACTTTGGGAGGCCGAGGCGGATGGATCACGAGGTCAAGAGATCAAGACCATCCTGGTCAACATGGTGAAACCCCGTTTCTACTAAAAATACAAAAAATTAGCTGGGCATGGTGGTACGTGCCTGTAATCCCAGCTACTCAGGAGGCTGAGGCAGGAGAATTGCCTGAACCCAGGAGGCAGAGGTTGCGGTGAGCCGAGATCACGCCATTGCACTCCAGCCTGGGTAACAAGAGCGAAACTCTGTCTCAAAAAAAAAAAAAAAAAAAAGGAAACCCCTTAGTCATCTAATTTACCTTTCCTCATTGGGGATTAAGGCCAAAGCCTAATAGTAGTATTCCTTTGCCTGGGCTTGTGCCCTGAATATGTATAGCCTGTGGGAATTTTAAGGGTAGTTAGGATTCTGATCAAGGACTTGGACTCCTATATACCTGTGCTTTCTGTATCAGAATACTTTTGATTTCAAATAAGAGAAACATCAAGCCAAACTGACTTAGTTAAGAAGATTTTTTTGCCCATATAGTTGAGAATTTCATAGTTAAGGTGAATTTAAGCAGGATTCAGTCAGGCCTCCAGTTCCATTTATTTGCTATTCTCACAGCACCACTCTCCATCATCTGTCAGCTTGTGTTAAGCTGGCCTCCCTTATGGACACAAAACAGCTGCCCACAGCAATTGGGACTGTATGCTACTACTTTCATACCCAGAGAAAGAGATTGCTTTTTCCTACAGTCATTGTTTGTAGACAGTTTCCATGGAAATCTTTTTGAGGTTGTTCATATGAACAACTTCGGAAGATAGAGGTTATGTGTTCCTCCAGAGCAAAGGGAAGATTTGTTTACTATCCAGTATAATAAAGATAATGTTTCCCTCCATGGCAAAATCGGGGAAGATTTGTTTACTGTCTGGTATAAAGATAATGTCTCCCTCCATGGCAAAATGAGACAAGTTTACTGCCCAGTATAAAAGATTTGGGTTTCCTTTTTACTGGTGATTTGTCTACTAAAATGTATCTACATATGCAGGCATCATCTAGTTCTCTTCATCTCTCACTGTGGGAATTGCATTTTGGGAAAACAGTGCAAATGCTGATACTCTGTCTACTGCTATTGCTATGGATCTTTGTCTCTGACCCAGGAGTCTTGTATCTTCTGCCAACACCTGTGAAACTATAGCAGCTAACTTTTAGCTTGGAGGCAGAGTAACATCTGAGACCTTTCATAGTTCCTGACAGTTATTATATAAAAGTTCTGAACCCACAGAGCCAGGCAGAACTTGTGCTATCATTAAATGTTTGCTTTAGTCTGCTCTTTCTCATCTAAACTATTTTCCTCCAGGTTTGTGCAATGGCATCAGCTAAGCTAAATGCCCTTCTTCAGACCAAAGTGTTTGAAAATCAGGATGAAGCATGTTACATTTTAGGGAAGCTGGAACATGTTCTAAGTCAATCCATCAAGGAACAGACTGAAATATACTCGTTTCTGATTCCTCTTGTTCGTACCCTGGTTTCCAAAATTTATGAGCTTCTCTTCATGAACTTGCACCTACCTTCTTTACCTTTTACCAATGGTAGCTCCTCATTTTTTGAAGATTTTCAAGAATATTGTAATTCAAATGAATGGCAAGTTTACATTGAAAAATATGTAAGTTTTATCTTTTTTGAGCAAGATTTTTCTGCTGATTACATTTTTATAGATGTGAAGTCATATATTAAATTTTATGTATTCTTTTTTTTGGTAAGATTGTACCTTACATGAAGCAGTATGAAACTCATACATTTTATGATAGTCATGAGAACATGGCACTTTATTGGAAGGATTGTTATGAAGCTTTAATGGTAAATATGCATAAACGAGACCGGGAAGGAGGGGAAAGCAAGCTCAAATTTCAGGTAAAAAGTAAATGTTTTAATATCTAGTTTTTCATGTTGATTTTAAGCATTTAATATTAAGAGCAATACAGGCCCCAAATTTTATAAGCAGTATTTCTATTATTTGTTTAAACATTATCTTAGAATTAGAAGAAAAACAGCTAATCAGTAACAATTAAGATCAATTAATAGTAAAATATTCTGTACATAGTGATTATGTTAAAAGTTTATTAAGCTGCTAGTACGTTAATAGATACCTCTAAGGAGGCTGAATACATACCATCACTTAGAGGGAAATTTACAGCACATAATATTTATATTAAAAAAGAAGAAAGGCATCAAATTTTAAGTTTCTACCTTAAGAAACTAGAGAAATGACTGGGCACGGTGGCTCACGCCTGTAATCCCAGCACTTTGGAAAGCCAAGTTTGGTGGATCACCTGAGATCAGGAGTTCTAGACCAGCCTAGCCAACATGACGAAACCCCATCTCTACTAAAAATAAAAAAATTAGCTGGGCATGGTGGCGTGTGCCTGTAATCCCAGCTACTGGGAGTCTAAGGCAGGAAGATCGCTTGAACCTGGGAGGCGGAGGTTGCAGTAAGCTGAGATCCTACACTGCACTCCAGCCTGGGCAACAGAGCGAGATTTCATCTCAACCAAAAAAAAAAGAAAGAAAGAAACTAAAGAAACAAAAGTAATCCAAATCCTTATCAGCAGAAGTAAGGAATGAATAAAGATAAGAACAGAAATAAGTGAAATTGAAAGCAGAAAAACAATAAAGTCAATGAAACCAAGGTCCAGTTCTTCAAAATATCAGTAAAATTGATAAACTTCTAGCAATATTGACAAAGAAAAAAAAAGAGAGGGAGATGTGAAAAATTATATAGACCAGGAAAGAAAGAAGCAATATCACCATTGACTCTACAGACATCAGCATTATAACGAGGGACCACTACAAACCACTCTATGTGCAAAAATATGACAACTTAAATGAAATGGATCAATTTTTGACAGACACAAATTTCCAAAACTAGTTCAAGAATAAGTATATAACCTGAATAGTCCTATATCTATTAAAGAAATAGGTTTTTATAGTTAAAAACCTTCAAAAAGGGAAAACTTCAGGCCCAGATGGTTTCACTGGCAAATTCTACCATACATTTAATGGAGAAATTATGCCACTTTCTCAGTCTCTTCAAATATGGAAAAGTAGGAACAATTCCAGCTCATTGATGAGGGTAATATTACCTTCATAGTGAAATAATAGAAAAATAGTACAAGAAAATTACAGACCGGTGTCTGTCAGGAACATAGCTACAAAACAAATCTAACAATATATTTTAAAAAATAATACATCAGATCAAGCACAATGGCTTATGCCTGTAATCCCAGCACTTTGGGAGGCCAAGATGGAGGATCATTTTAGGCGAGAAGTTCGAGACAGGCCTGGGCAACATAGGGAGACTCTACCTCTACAAAAAATTTAAAAATTAGCTGGGTGTGGTGGTGCACACCTGTAGTAGCAGCTACTGAGAAGGCTGATATGAGAGGATCACTTGAGTACAGGAGGTCAAAGCTTTAGTAAGCCTTGATTCTACCACTGCACTCCAAAATAGATGAGGAGCGAGAACAATTAATATTGTTCTTTGTTTCAAGAACAATAATAATAATGGTAATAATAATAATATACAACACAACAAAGTGGAATTTATCCTCAGGTTGCAGGGCTAGTTCAACATTTGAAGATTAATTAATATACTGGACCATGTTTGTAGTTTTAACAAGAAAAGCTGCATTATCATAACAGTAAATCCAGGAAAAGCACTTGAAAAAATAAACATCCATTTGTAATGAAAGCTCTCAGCAAACTAGGAGTAAAAGGGAACTACTTAACTCTTTACCAGCATCCTACCACTAACTTCATATTCAGAGGTGAAAAACTGAGTACTTTTCCCCTAAGACAGGGAACTAGACAGGGATATTCATTCTCACCGTTCTTAGTTACCATTGTACCACAAATCTTAGCAAATATAGTAAGAATAGAGAAAAACATATAAAAAAGCATTCACATTGGGAAGGAAGAAATAAAACTATCTAAAGATAACATGATTCTCTGTATAGAAAATCTCAAGGACTCTGTTATACCAATAAATTACTGTGATTAAGCAAGTTTAGCAAAGCTACAGGACATAAAATCAGTGCACAAAATTTAATCATATTTCCATACCCTAGCAATGAATAATGAATGAGAAACTGAAATTTTTTTTTCCATAACATTCTTGGAGTAGGGGAACTGAAATTTTCTAAAAATACTTTTTCAATAGCTCTAAAATAATAAAATGCTTAGGTATCAATCTAACAAAATATATACAACATCTGCTGTATATATGCCAAAAACTAAAAAAACACTTGAAACAAATTAAAGAAGACCTAAATAAATACAGATAGGTACTGTATTCATGAAGTAATTTTAAATTGTATATATTTGCATATATTTGGTTAAGCCAAAATGAGACCATTGCTCATTTCTTAACTTAAATATATTGTAAACGTCTTGCCACGCCAGACTGCAAAGTATTCCATTGTCTTATATATTAGTGCATTTAAGTGTATTTCTCATTGTTAGAACTCACTAGTTTTTTTCTTTATTATAAATAGTATTGAACATCCCTATATTTTTGTGGCTATCCAAGATGATTTCCCTAGGATAAGTGTAATTACTTGTATGTAGTGCTTATGACAAACACTGTTACATTTCCCTGAGAGAAGTTCTACCAGTTTATATTCTTATCAACACTTTCCCTGTAACTTTACCTTTTCTAGAAATACCTGATTTAAGAATATCCTTATATGCTTGAACCTCAAAACTGTGAAATTGATGTTTAATTACCATGGAGCTGTCATGACTTCCTCAGTTTTCTCAGCAATGATCTAAGTATTTGGTAACATTGTATTCCAAAATAATCAATTTCCTACTCATCTAATACTAGTTAACAATAACAATTATAATAATGACAACTACAAGTTATTGAAGGCTTGCTATTTTTCTAGCACTATATTAAGCACTTTAAATGTTCATCTTTATTATGACAGTTATTGTTAACCTCATTTTACACATGAGAGGACACTGAGCCTCAGAGAATTAGCTATGAGAAACAACTTAGATAAGAGAATTAGCTCAGAAAAGCGAAGATTTGTATCCAGGTCTAACTCCAAGGCATGTATTTTTAACGACACATTGCTGTAGTACCTCTCTAAAACTGTTTAAGATTTTAACTGTTCTTTTTAATTTAATTCATTGCTGGTTTGTTTGAAACAAATTAGTGCTGTCATTTTAGTTGCTAATAGATGAATATTGATGTGAGATAAATATGCCAGTCTTCTGTTTGTTTCTTTAATATAAACATTAATTTCAAAGCTTAAAGTTATGTCTTGGTAGTATAGAATGTAATTTCCTTCTTTCTACTTTCTTTCGTCTTGAGTCTCATTTTAGATGCCTTATAAATCAAAAGATCCCAGAGGAAAATTATTTTACTTGACAGTAAGTAGGAGGTTAATTATCTTGAGTTTAAAAGTTCTTGACATTGTGTGCCGGATGAAAAAAGAAAACAGAAAAAAAAAAAGTTCTGGATTGAGACACTTTCCATTTTTGAAGTTTTTCACATTTTTATTGTTGGTTAGTTGGTTTTTAAGTTTTAAAAAAATGTAAATAGATTATAGGTAAAATTATATCATACTTCATCAAAGAAAATGATTCTAATGGAATAAAAGCCTGTTGCTTACCAGCTCCTTTCTCATGCTGCAAGATTTTATTTGTCAAAAATTTTAAATTAAGGAATTAAAATGTAAATATACCTGTAAACATATGAGTCAATGATCTTATTTCTTATTGTTTCTTTCAGGAGCTGTTTGTGGAGCCATTTAATCGAAAAGCACGCCAAGAAAACCTGAGGTATAATAATATGCTTAAACAACTTAGCAGTCAACAGTTAGCCACTGTTAGATGCTGGAAAGCAATATACCTCTATCTTACATGTGAAAGGGGACCTTGGGCTAAAAGGTAGGAGGATATAATTTTATTAAGTACTCTTTTTTTTTTTTTTTTTAACAAATGCCCCTTTCACTCCAATTTTTTAAATGTTCAGTTTATAAAAGGCTACTTTTAATCTTATTTATTGTCTTTTTGTGAAGTATAGGTCTGGGATGATGTGAGGTTGTCTTGTTTTTTGTCATACAGTTATTTGCCTTCCTTTGACCCTTTGACGTGAAGTTTATTGGACTTTAGACTCAAGAGTGTTAAACCAATTTACTTCTGTCTTTCTGACACTACCTCTTTGAGCTAGGGCTAATACTGTTACATGTTTGAATATTTTACAATTCATTTAATTGATCCTAAGTCACTTCTGTTTTGCTGAATTATATTATCTCTTTTTTTACAGCCCTTTTTTAAATGTGGTAAAATGTATATAACATAAAATTTATCCTTTTAACTATTTTAAAATGTACAATTCACTGGCACTGAATATATTCATAATGTTGTACAGTCATCACCACCGTCTAACTTCATAATATTTTTATCACCTGAAAAGGAAATGCTGTACCTATCAAAGAGTCATTCCTCATCCCCTGTCCCATCCCCTAGCAGCCACCCATCAGCTTTCTGTCTTATTATTTGCCTATTCTGGTTATTTCATATAAATGGAATCATAAAATATGCGGCCTTTTGTGTCTGCCATCTTTCAGTTAGCATAATGTTTTCATTATGCAGTGGCGTGTATC